TATCTTTTTCAGTAAAAGAAGGCATTCTGAATTGATTGGCGTTAGTTTGAAATTAATTGGAATTAAATTGGTAGAGTTGTGACTGTTTAAAGTATATATAAATTGGGTGGCTGGGTTAAAAGTGAGGTGGCCGGTCTGTGGGGGTGGCCAGTCTTTGGGTGACGGACGTTAATCAGTGCATGTTAAGAAACAAAGCGGATACTATTCACGTACTCTTCTTCATAGGGTTGCACTCGCTGTAGGTCTGAGCAGCGGCCGAAGCAAAAAGACCCGCAAGGGCGATCTTGGACCACGCGGAATAATACATGGTGGGGAAAGTAAGAAAAATTGGATTAATATTAAAAAAGAACGAGTGAAAGTCGTAGCAGGTCGCAACAAAAGAACGAGTGACTTTATAAAACGAATGCGACGTTGGCCTACCACGAGTCAAAAAGCGAAAATGAACATAAAGATGCGCAAGCAAACTTTAGGTAAGTGGGAGAGAATGGCAGGCTGTGGTGGGTATATAAAAAGCGACAGTGTTATCTTGCTGCGCCTGACAAACTTTTTTTCAGCTAGCCTGGAGCCCATGAGTGTTGGTTCGAACCCAGTTTCCGTTACTGATAAGGCAATCGAAAGGGGGGGAGATGAAGATTGACCCGGTAATACTGGGTACCGTTGCGTAACGCAATCCTTGCTGGTGGAGAACGGGTGCTCTGACGCGTAATTAACCGGTGGGTAGCTCGTCACTGTCTATGGGGAACACTTCAGCTGATTCCTTGAAGATCGGATGAGTTGAGCCGTGATATCGGCATGTCTAAACCATACAGCTGAATTGATTTGATGGAATCGAGACGCATCATTGACTTTTTTCGCCCTGACGATCCCAGTGGACTCTGCTCATTTTAGTCAGGCACGGAATGAATCCTCCTGTCAGCTCGTAAGTAAGGTTTGTTTCGGGTAGAATTGTGACCCTGAGCAAGGGGCAAGCATGGATGATGATCTCGCGAGGTTGTTCTTTTATTGCAACACGGTAAATACCACTTTGAAGCTTTTTGCGAAGTAGCCTTGTTGGAGTAGTGCGAGATTTACGTCGCACAGATCGAGTGCGACACATGGCTTCGGGTACCTTCGATCAATGTCCGAGAGCCCGAGACTTGGTGTGTCCTTGCAGTAAAAATAGCTGACGCTAAACCTAACTGTGCCAAGGCCGCTGAGTCAGTTGGTGTAGGGTAATGTTCTAGAAATCACGATGGTAAGGAAGCGATATTGAACTTACAACGTGTAGGGAGTAATACTGCGATAAAACCATTATTAATAGTTTAAATTCATCTCTTCTTATTTCTATATAGCACCGCACCATGATGAGTATTAGAGATCGCCACCATTTCCTGACATTCCGCGTCTAGTATTTATTTATCTTTCTGTTTTCCATGTAGAGATGACAAGTTGAGCCTACCACAATCTGCAGCTACCTTCCTTACCAGTGATCACGTTAATATTCTCAACAAGAGATAAAACACATTATTACCTGTATAGTAAAATATCGAAGTCGGTCTCTTTTTCTATCTGCTCGAAGAAGCACTAAGCCACAACCCCAGCTCGACCCCAACACGCGCTCCCTGATCGATCATGCTGAGATGACCAGCCTTATCGATAACAATAACCTCGCTGGCCTTCAACGCGTTCCCCAATCTGTGCGCGACCTCCACTGGGAGCCACTTATCATCAGCGCCCCAGATGATCTTGATTGGCAGCTTCGGCCCAACCTCTCCATATCTCGCCTCCACTTCCTCCGTGGACCTGGAGTTGGCTTGGCACAATTCACGAATGAAGCCTCGTTTTCCACTTTCTCGCAGCCAAGGCTCTTTGAGCATCTGCATTGTCTCCTTTGGTAATTCGTAGTATGCTGCGTCGCTGATGTAACTTTCTAGTATGCCCTCAAAGGCTGTGTCGGGGAGCTGTTCAAAAAGCTCGGGGTTTTCAGCGATGACTTTGAAGAGGGGTTGACCGAATGGTCCGATCGCGACAACGTCGATGAGACAGAGGCTTGCATATGACAAGTCGTGGAGGAGATAGCCTCGTAAACTGACGAGACCGGCATTATCGTGGGCGATGACATGAGCCTTCTCATGCGTCCAGTCTGCTTGCCAGGACTTGAAGAGCGCAGCAAACACTTCTGCTTGTCGCGCGAGGTTACTGTCATACTCTTCAATTGCGCTTGAGCTGGCTTTTGCTGGATCCAACTTTTTCTCTGCAGGTGTGTCGCCGAAACCAGGTCTATCGAAGAGATAGACGTGGAATTGACGTGACAGTGAGAGGGCAAAAGGTACCCAGACGCGAGATGACCACGGAGTTCCATGGATAAATATGAGTGGAGGGGATTTGGGATCACCCAATGAGCCCCATTTCACATCATAGCTGTGCGTTGAGGTTTGGTAGTGAAAGCTTTGAGTTAAAGCTGTAGGGTCGTTGTGTGATGAGGTCATTGTGAGATCTGAGGTGAGTTTGAGTTTCGAGGTGTCAATGATGCGAAGGGGGACGTGACACTGATTGAAGAAGATTGGAAGAAAAGATGAAGAAGAGTTGGTATTTGTCAAGCTGCCTTATTTATACACAGCTGGTGGCCAATTTGATGCATAATATGATGACATTTCAATGAAATGGAGGGTGAGATAAGTGAGATGACGCGCCCGCGCCTTTATTTTGACGACTCGCTACAGGCACCGAAACCTGCCTCAAGAAGCTCCAAGATGAACACTCCGTCAAAGAGAAGCGAGAATGAGGCGAATTGACCTTGGGCGACTATTGGGCTTGTGTATAATGATAGTGGCTAATTTTTGTTAACAATATCATGCCATTCGAGTAAGTAGGAGGCACTTTTATTAGGCCTTCTCAGCTTCTGCCTCCAGACTCACGCCCGCCAGTCGCAGCTCAACAAATGGCGACGTCTTGGAGAAGTATCGCTTTGTGCCCTGAAGTTGCCAAGACCAACACGCTGCGCCAAACAACTCCATGTCCGCCACGTACGTTCCAGGAACAGTATCCTCTTCGCTGTCGTCATCGCACTCGGCTTCAATCTCAATCCAGATGCGCTTCACCTCTTGGGCATGTCTTTGTGACATTGCAGCGACTCGTTGCGCAGCCTCATATAAACCAATCTTCTCCGTACGTACCAGCACGGCTAGTAGATTATTTGTATTCTCCAAAAACGTCTCTTTCTCATATGAGAAAATCTCATTCAGTAATGAGCTAATCTTTTCGCAATGCTGCTGCATCTAACGGATTCGTGGAATAGCGTTGTGCTCCTCAGAGAGAAAAGTACCCATGGCCATCTCGACGAAGAGAACGGTATAGACCATTCCAGAATTCCGCAATTTATGGCCTGCGTATTCTTCGACGGTCATATCTTTGGCTTCACTGTAGATCAGGGCATGAGACTTGCCAAAGTCCTTCATGGAAGCGCATGACTTGGCCAGCCATACCTCGAAGCGCTTCTCGTCGATCCGTCGACCGCGCAAATGCATACGCGCCGAAAGCTCGTGGGTAGCTCCCAGAAGGTACGGGTGTGTCTCCAAGTCCGATATGATCTCGCAGCACTCTTCATATGCGTGAGGATTCTCCATTATACGTGCAGTACATACGATCCCGTCTGCCAGCCTCTGCGGTGTATCGCGCAGCTTCTGGAGATCCCTAGCCAGACGTTGTCCCGACGGAGTCGCCTGGATAGCCTTGAGAATAGCAGCGCTATCGAAGATGTCGTCATTGACAAATTGAACCGTCATGAAGCCTGTGGCGAGAAAGATTCCTTCATCATCGGCGTTTGGGTAGAGATAGGTGCACATGGACGCTGTCCCGTTCACGATGCCCTTGATGAGCTTCTCAGCGCCCAGTTGCTCAAGATGCGGGTACAGCCATTGCCGAACTTTCTCAACGACCCAGTCTGCTCTCGGATGTACTTTGTGCGGAGATGGTGGGTGATATAATCGTGTTAACGGAATCAAAGCCTGATAACCATCAGACGGGGGTCTTAAAAGCCCGCCATGCCCGTGATGCTCCCTCGTCGTTAGCCATTCAACGGTTGCCATGCTTGGGTATGGTAGTGACTTGAGAAGCTGAGCTGGATCGTCTCGATGGAGGAATAGCTGGTCTCTTTATACTGCATTAGAGAGAGGGTTCTGAGACATCAATCTAAGACATCTAGATAACCGACTTGCAGTCGCAAGGCATTACATCATGTGATAGAAAGGGTAGCATTCTATCACTTATAAATGCCAAGATGTATCACCAACCTTTCACATCATTTCACAGTCTGAAGGCTCAGTACAGCATTCGATCCGGCGTAACGTCTGACAAGCAGATTCACCGACAGTATGGCGTGCATTAGCTGTGCCGCGATACGATACGTGGAGTCTTTCATGGCCTCCCGATAAGGGCGATGAGGCCAATAGGTCGATCTTGCAGTGAAAGAGGGCTTCCTCAACACCTTCTGCTTCCTCCTCGCCCTTCTGTATAAGATGTCCTTCTGCGGCACAGGACGAGACGCCGCTTGACACCCACTCGTAAAGGCTACAGTACCCTCTGGGAGACAAAATATATCCGACGCGGATAATCATATTCACCTTAGTGCTGTCAGCAGGCGCAGGGAATCAGAAATACCCCAAAAAAATTAAATTCTTGAAACAAAATGGTAATACTCAAACAAGAATTCCCGGCTTACTCCAAGGTAGTAGAATAGCACCTTGAAGCGTAAGGGTGAGATGGGCAGATGAGCCAATCAACGAAAGACCCCACGCCCTTATTTTGACGGCTCATCCCAGCTGCTTCAGTCAAGCACTTGAAGTTACAGCGATTGGTGCTCGCGCTCACTCTCTTTAGCTACATTTACGAGTAACTCTGTATGATAAGAACAAAGAGAATTGTTTATGTCTGACAAATCGGGAAAACGTGATGAGTTTAAGCTCTTTCGGTCGGCAGTCTTGGCAATTCTGGGTGCGATTGATGTAACCCGCGCCCTTCAATTGACACTAAGGATAAGTATCCTCGTAGCCACCAAACTCCCTCTCCTCCTAAATCTTTCCACACATCATCAGGTCACAAAAGGGCGCATGGTATTGCAGCCTCGTTAGACACTGAGGTACCTGGCTGCGACAACATTATGTCGACGACTACAGCCGTTCAGCTAGAAGCCTACGGCAACGGCACAACCTATGAACCCAACACCCTCTCAACTCTCCGCCCAACAAGAGCCGGTCTCGCTGAAAATGCCTCACTGAGCAATCACGAGTCTGATGACCCAGCACTTGAAGCTTCGCGCATCGCTGATAGCACTGTCCCCGATGGCGGTTACGGATGGGTCGTAATCGGTGCCTGCGCCGTTGTTGCATGGTGGGTTATCGGACTCAGCTACGTCTGGGGCGTGTACCAAAATGCCCTCGTTGAGCGAAACGTCGGATCTCCTCTGGCCTTGTCCTTCTGTGGCTCGTTGTCGCCGGCTTTGATGGCGACCGTTGGAGTCATCGTGTCGAGAATGCTACGAACGTTCGGGACACGCAAACTCAGCTCCGCCGGAATCATTCTCATGGCCCTTTCTCTCATCGGCGCAAGCTTCGTCACAGATCATCTTGTCGGATTGATCTTTCTTCCTGGCATTCCCCTTGGTCTCGGTATGGCTGGCTGCTTCATGTCTTTCTCCCTCGCTCCGGCGCAGTACTTTATGAAGAAGAGGGGACTAGCGAATGGCATAGTCTATGCAGGTGGTGGTTTTGGAGGTGCGATTATGAGCATTGCGACCAACTCCCTCATTGAGAAGCACAGTGTTGAATGGGCCTTTCGCATCACCGGCATCTTGATCGCTGTTTCGGGACTTCCAGCGGCGCTTCTGATCAAAGAGAGGGTACCTTTGGCAAAGACCGGAATCGTTGACTGGAGACTCTTTCGACAGCTCAACTTTGCTATTCTCTTCTTTGCCGCTGGCATCGGCATCTTCCCTCTTCTCGTCCCCCCTTATTTCCTTCCCCTCTACTCTCGATCTATGGGCCTGAGTACAAACACTGGTGCTGGACTTGTTGCAGGCTTCAGTTTTGCATCTGCTGTAGGACGAATCATGAGTGGATATCTCTGTGATAAATTCGGGCCATTGAATACCCTTGCGGCCTTCTTCCTTGGAAATGCGCTCACCATGCTTGCCCTCTGGCCTGCATCGACGACACTTGCGCCATTGGCTGTTTTCGCAGTGCTCAATGGTTTGATGAATGGTGGATTCTTTTCTTCCATGCCAACTGTTGTCGGCAACGTCTTCGGATCTGCCAGAGTATCAACAGCTATGGGTATGGTGATTGTTGGCTGGGTGGCTGGTTATCTTTTTGTAAGTTCACGCGCCACTCGCCTTGATTGATGCGTCTAACAATTGCAGGGATCTCCCATTGCTGGTTTCCTTCTCCAAGCACATGGAGGTGCAGATGAGGGGCTGGGTGCATATAGACCTGCCATGTTCTACGCTGGCTCGATGTCAGCCATTGCTACTGTTCTGACTGTTATCCTACGGTTGAGGATCAACAAGAAATTAATGGCAAAGGTCTAGCCTGTCACTCAAAAGAGGATTACATAAGATCAAGGATAGATTGAGGAGAAAGCCCTAAGCTTACTGCAAAAGGTCTGTAATTATCAGGATATGTCTAAAGATTAAATAGACAAGAGTATGTCACCAGTGTAATATGTTGTATTTCTCAACTCTCGAAGCCAAAAAGGTAGCTTGCTCTAATATACCCCGGGGATATAAAACTTTACTACATGCATTAACTTATTTCTTCTCTTTCTTCTTGTTGGCAATACAAGTTGGGCATCGGTCATTGGTCGTTGTGTACTCCACCGAAGTCGGGTAATGAACCCCGGTACAGCGACCATCCTTTTTGTAGCCCTCACACATTATGGTAGGTTGGAAAGTTGTGTTAAGAACGTAAAAGCAGACGTGGCACTTTGTCACGTCTCGTTTGGTGGTGCACATCTTGAGTGAGGAGTATTATACGACGTAAAAGCTACAATATTAGACTGTAATATTCCTGGGAAGGGGATACTTTTTGAAGTTTAGGGCAAAGCATTTAGAGTTCTGGAGATGTAATTTATAGCCCCCATTTGTTGGTGAATCGTTGAGGAACACTGTTAGAACAGAGATACAATCATTACCTGATGTATTCTTATTAGGCTTCAATGTGCTGCTTATGCAGTCCCTCGATGTTCGTCGAGATCTCGGTTATCATCACGAATTACATTCATCTTATCACAGTTCTAATCAAATCCAAACCTCTAAGCGTTACACTTCAAATGAGATTATGTTAGTGAATCACGACATCAATTTAGCTACCTGCCAGCATCTGCTGATTTATTCACTTCCATGTCTCTTGCCCTCGCAAGGCAGCTAACTACCGAGATGAGCCACCAGGCTCACAAATAATACATTTGTCTTTCTTCTTCCGTTCAATGCAATGACTGCATTCATGAAACCTGTCAGCTGTCAATTGATGTTTTACCCCAAGACAAGCGGCGCGCCCCTTTCTAGATATCTCTGGCATGGTCGAAGGACATGCATTGTTCTAGAGATCTCGCCATCACAGGCTTTGCAGATCAACACTGTACCCGGAATGATACACATCCTTGAGGTGGATTTTGAGCTTGGGTTGATAATGGGTTAGACAACGGAATATTGGGGAACTGATAGCACGGGAAAAGGGAGGCTCTTGGTGGTGCGCCCCCTTTAAATAGCCTGCTCGTCCCATCAGTCGTGCGGCGATGAAAATCTGAGGTAATTCTTTCTGCAAAACTGTGAACTGCACCTTTAGACATTGATCCAACTCTCCCGTGCTGGAGAGCCAGTTGTTCTACGCAGAAGTAGCGTTCTAAGCATTCTGCATGGGCTAATCACGACCGAAAGACTCTCGAGGCGGCTCAGATTATATGCTGCATGCCTGCAACACCTGGAACTATCTTTAATGGTGTTAATCGGAGACCTGTTACATTACAACACGGCGAATTTCATATAAATAATGCAGATGTGGGGTAATGACGGTATTTATTTTGCTAGCTGAAAGCTCAGGCGCAGTATCCTGCCCCTCAATTCGACTCGCCAACCTGGCCCCTTTCAGTTCTTACCATTCTCCTTGCATTTAGGGCAGTGAGTCTTTAGTAGCCACTTGAAGCTTTGTGGGTAACTCGTCCCGCTACAGCCTTTCCCTTCCTTATAGTTCTCGCATTGCTTAGGCACGGCGTGTCTCCTTAATTTTATGGTAGCATGTCCCGCACTTCTTGATCTCGACGTTGACTGTGCACATATTTGCGGTCGGAAAGGTTGTATAGTGGAGTGTGTAGTAGTGTGAGTGTTGGTTTGCTTGGAAGTTGATGTGCTGGGAGACTGAGGAGACCAGAGTGCTAGGCCTGGTTCTATTTAAGTACTCAAACCGTCTCGCCAATGACCTTGTGAATGTGTGAGAATGCTGCTTAGACATGGCAAATCACCAACTATCTCAATGCAATGAATCGGTTATCCTGCGCCAAGGCGAATAGCACAGGCATTCAATAGAGGAAATTATACGTTACCATTCACAGCAAGGAACGAGGCGATAATCACAGCCCCAGAGATCTGTGAGTCGTCCCAGGCTACTTTGTGAATAAGTGCAGCATCTGAAGTGTAGTTCATGTTTGTTACTCAGAGAAGGACTACAACCCGTCACGCTGACCCTTTTACAGCTATTCAGGGCCTATAAGCTCTGGAGTTCTATGTCTTTATTACACAGAGCTAAACATCTCTGCTTAGGAATATATATAATTAAGTCATATGGCTAGAAGCTTGCTTAGGCGCTTATCCCACTTAGTGATGCATTATGTTATCCTTGGGAGAACTATCTTTCTGAAGTAATAATACAGCTGTAGTTCTTGAACTTCAATTTGTTGCCTGACCTAAGTTACTACATAACACCAAGGTTTCACCCAACCAGTCCTTGCCATCTTGGTTCAAGCTGCAGTTGCAGCATAAGGCTTAGGCTTTGTGCATTCCGGGCAGGCATCAGTATCCCTCGTTGTCTCAACTTTGATTTCTGACTTCTCCCCGCTGCATTTTCCTTCCTTGGCCAGGCCGTCGCATTTTGCCTGAGATCGCTCTGCGTCAAGCTCGTACCCGCATTTCTTGCACTTAGCGATTGTCTTTGTCCATTGACACATCTTGATGGTGTTACTTTGTGTTTGCGCTTATTTTAGTAGTTTTGCATTATGTTGGGTTTGAAGTTTAGTATGTGTTCGCTCTAATTTATACCCTGAATGTATTGTGAATGTACACTAACTCATGGACGTGATTGAGGTTGACTTGCAGAGGCTCTGTCTGTTCACGTCGTTTCAATGGAGCGAATAAAGAAGCAAGGCACTTCATGGATACATCTTTCACAGCTCATTCAAACTTGCGGAGCAACAATGCAAGATTCAGATAGTGTTCTAAATTAAATCCTCTTGACCTTGAATATATGTCGTGGCTCAGTCCTGTATCCTGCTACCTTTCTCCTCTTCTGACTTATGCTGCAGGCTGATCTGCCTCAGGCGGTGGGCATTTCGAACAATTCTCCCTGTCAACATATTTGATATCTGTGACCCGCTCCTTCTTCACTCCCTTGCATGGACGACCATTTAGGACATCGTTGCAATTTATCTTTGGACTTTCTGCATCAATCTCGTGGCGGCACAACTCGCACTTGGTAATCCTGTTTTCGAAATGACACATTGTGAATGGTGAAAGCAATCGCTTGTGGAGAGGCTCAATAGATGTTGATTTGTTGATATTGTTCTTTTTGTTTTGGTGGAGTGAAGCTAGTTGGGCTGAGGTCCCAATCTCCCTGTCCAATACTCGACCTTATATCTACACTACAGTCAACTGTATACACATTCAGAGGTGCAAGGGAGCTGAATCAAGACTTCCGAGTGGCCTGTGAATCTACCACCGGGATAGTAATCCTTAGTTCACAGCGAGAGTGGTAGCTACTCAGTGCGCATGATGAGACGCAATAATGTACAAGGCTCGAAGAGCTTCCCCTGATTGACTGTGCGATTAATGTCTCATTGTCATTTGTTTGAACCCGACTTCACCAGTGAGACGCTGGGTAGCTCAGTGAGAATACAGCTGAATGCACAATTCCTTTTGCTTTCACTTCGTGCACGATCTTTGACTTAAGCTCCCTTCTAAATGTGAAATGAGGATGCGTGAGGATGCGTAATTTACACGGAAATCTCTTATATTGTCGTTGATCTCCGAACTTCCTTTGCAGCCCAAAACGAGTAGCTAGAGGCTATGTATCCTTACTACTTCCCGTGGGCTGTTTCTGCATTTAACACTCGTATTGTGCATTTACATACTCTCCATCAATACTAGCTGCGGCTGTTGTTTCACCTTCCTGTTTTGCTTGCATTATCCCCTCCGAATAATTGCATCATAATTACCGGGGGGCGAGATAGTCTACCCCGCTCCGACTTATCTTCCTCAACCTTTCACCCGGCCTCAATTTCGTTTGATCCAGTGCATCTCGGCATAAAAGAAGTATTTAACTACAATTGTGCTCTGAAGACGAGTACTGTCCAACCAATTTGAAGATGCCCCAATCACAGCTTGGCATCAAGGCGCTTCGGGCAAAGTTCCCGGCTCTTCAGCAGGACCAAGTCTTTCTCGACAACGCGGGTGGAAGCCAAATTCTAGGAGCCGCAGCTGACTCGTGTGTTACACTATGATTGTGGAGATTTCTCTGTTCTGACTGCGATTCCAGGATCCGAGATTACCTCATTACCTCGAATGTGCAGATGGGCGCGTCGTATGGCGTAGGCAGGCTCTCAGCGGCAAAAGTGGACAAAGGCTACGAGGCAGCTGCACGATACATCAATGCACTGCCTGATGAAATTGGTACACGAAACCTTCGCACGGTTGTTACAGGACACTCAACTTACAGAGAGTCCAGTTTACGGCGCGTCGTCAACTCAACTGCTGCGCAACCTCGCACTGGCCCTTACCTTTGCTCAAGGTGACGAGGTAATCGTATCAACCCTCGACCACGAGGCAAACATCGCGCCATGGCTAGACCTAGCTGAGCGACAAGGACTTACAGTCAAGTGGTGGACTCCAGAAGGACAAGGCAACAATCCGAAGCTGACAGTCGAGAGCTTAAAGCCGCTCTTATCCGGCAGGACGAGATTTATCGCCTTGACTCATTGTACCAACCTTCTCGGATCAATCCACGACATCAAGGCCATCGCTGCGGCTGCTCATGAGTACCCGAATGTTTTTGTTTGTGTCGATGGAGTAGCTTACGCGCCTCACCGACCCATCGACGTCAAGGATCTAGGCGTTGACTTCTATTGTCTCTCATGGTACAAAGTCTTTGGCCCTCATATTGCAATGCTCTACGGCAGTCGTGAGGCTCAGAAACAGCTTCGTCCCCTGGGCCACTACTTCAACCCCGCAGAAAGTCTGTCCGACAAGGCTGGATTCTCTGCTGGAAGCTATGAGTTGATAGCGAGTATATCTGTCGTGGTTGACCATCTTCTTGCTGAAAGCTGGGATAAGAGTATCCAGCAAGAGACGGAAATTCAGAAATTACTCCTCGACTACTTGACCAAACGAGATGACGCAACGATTTACGGAGAACCGAGTTCGGACCCCAGCAAGCGTTTACCTATTGTCAGCTTCACTATCGACGGCTGGAACTCTCGCAGTGTCTTAGCAGCTATTGAAGCAAACTCGAATCTGGGGTTGAAGCATGGTCACTTTTACTCTCATCGTTTGGTGAAAGAGGTTCTAGATCTTGATACAACTGACGGAGTTGTTCGAGTAAGCATGGCCCATTATAACACTTGTAAGTCCTGCGAGAGATTTGGTGCTGCACTGCTGACTCCTGTTAGGCGAGGAGATTCAGACTGTTATAGATACCTTACAGAACATTATTGTCAAGCGATGACGTGGTTGGAAGAGTAGAAGATGAATAAAGATACACGGACAATACAATAGGATTTCCTTTGCTCAAGTATTATCCAGGTTTCCAACTCCGGGATCTCTTCTCCATGCAGAGACGTCCCACCCAAAAGGCACAGAGCCAGTAAGATAACCCTCGGTCCTCGCGTCATAGTCATGCCTTTCCTTGAGGCTATCCTCAGGCGGAAACAAGCCATTCGGGACCTCATCCTCAGCCATATTGAACGGCGAGGCGAGGTGATGAGCAAAGTTAATATCAGCGTTGACAGATGCTTCGACAATAGTAGGATACGGCATGTTAGCCTCAGAACCTCCTTTCAGAAGGGTAAGGGGATAGCACAGTAGCTCCCGTAGCTCATGCATCAGGTTATGAAGTCTGGCGTCGCCGCTAGATTTGATAAATAGGTAAGAGTCGTCATCCAATGGCCCATCTTCGTAGGAGCTTGAAGCCTGGGTTATGTTAAGTGGAGATTCTGGCAGATGGCCATTTATAATGTCCTGGTATCTCGTCAGTCGACTGTGGAAGCTGTGCGCTATCCTGTCCTTTGTAGCACATAACGCAAGGATCTCGATACATGTTCTTGAAAGAGTCACATCTTGCTGCCTGAATGCTTTACCACCCCCGACAAGGAAACTTTTGATGGCAGTGAAGTTCAGCATCAAGAAGGTGACATAGCATTGATACCTGAGGGTCAAATCAGCTTAATCCATGTGTCACAGGGAAGGAGTAAAGTTAAAATTAGGATGATGTGGGAAAGACTGCATCTTACATGGTCAGCCAGCAGTTCTTCACCACAGCTTTCTCCTCGAGGATTAGCCCAAGAAGTCGAGCTGAGTTTCGAGCAGCATGTATGCCCTCGCAAATAGCAGCCTTAGCTTCAGGGTCCCAGGTACACGCCGCTATATCCCTTTGAGTAGCAAGCACAGCCCGAGTTTTGAGAATCAAGGCGGACATGTAGAAAAGGTGCATGTAAAAAGTCACCCGGCGCTGGTCAGGAGATATCTCTGGTGTATAAACCAAGGTCTCGAGATGCATGTAAGCAGGGAGACTAGATCGCCATAACTCAAGGTCGTCATGCATTTGTCTCAGGATAGTGGGCGATAAGACTCTAAAGGATGCCACGGTTCGGACGATGTTGGCCTTCAGGACTGTGATTTGTGCCATCCTCTGTTGTAGAACACCGAGAACAGGGTCCTCGGCTGCTGAATCAAGAGCGCCGGTGTTGTCAATCTGCTCCCTTGTTTCCTGGAAAAAAGCATCAGCAAAAGAAGTAGCCAGGTGCTCGGATTGACTTGCGTGAATACATCGGGAGACCTCTGGGCTGGGAATATGCCCAAGAGTAGCTGTTACCCAGCTCCGTATCGTGATGAGTGCAGCGAAAGTCTTGATGTATCCCTTGAAATCTTGTTCTGGCAGACCCGGAGGCTTTTTGCCAACACAAAGTCCGCTTGAGGAGCCAAGCAGGATACCCCAATCTTCAAAACCGCTCAGCACTGCGAATCCTTTTTGGGGAGGAAACGTATGGGCCTACCTGTATAAGAGATTGCCAATGATGACTTGGCAATAACATTGTAGATCCCCAAGCAACAGCATATCCGCATCGCCCGCAGGGGAGCCTGCTCCACGACGTAATCGAGAAACAGCCGAGCTTTCTGGTAGAACGGCGTGCATATCGATGCGTTGCCGTTTGGTAGAATCTGTCGATCATATTGGAAGCCCAATGCACAAATGGCCAGTAACTCGCCGTATGCAATCTTTCTGCCGACAACCTGGTCTGGCTTTGCTTCTTGAAAGGTGTCAAGAATCGAACTGGCTTCCTTCCTCGTGTAAATAGGAAACATGTTACCCATGTATAAGAAGTAACAGTCGATACCATCTCGCAAGGCTTGAATAGCCACATCTGAGATCTCGGTTGACAAGAGCTCGTTCTCGAAGAGTAGATTGCAGTCGTAGATCTGTTGACTCCATCTCACCCTGGCACTTGGTGGATCTCTGCAAGCTGAGGCAAGACTACTGCCTTCACTTTTCACAAACTCGAGCGCCGCCTCAATGCCAAAACCATCGCGGATCCGCTCAAACAGACTATTAGCTTCATTCGCAGGCCGTTCCTGGAGATACCGATACAGCGCCGCGAACGATTCAACATTCTCCTGCAGAGCCTGCTGTCGTCTTATGAGGAGCTCAGTTCTGTTACCCTGGACTGTGTATTCGCAGCTTCGGCCTTTCGACATGCAAGGCCCGCATTCGGGGCGGTCGCCGTCGCATTTTATCTTTTTCAGCTTGCAGGGTTGGCAGGCTGAGATGACCTTTGATTTCCGCGGGATAACTAAGTCGCTGGTGGACCTTGGCGCGGATGGGGTGTCGGGCGTTGCTGTTGGACGGGGTAGGATTGGTCTGGGGCGCATTGAGGATGAGTAAGGCTCCATTGTTGCCTTGGCCCCTGGGGACTACGGGTTTTGTCAAGTCGGCTGATGCTTTAGAGAGGAGGTTGGTGAGCTGTTGGGTAGGGTAGCGCCACATTCCCGCAGAGGCGAGACAGAGTTTGCCACTTCCGCTTTATATCCTATCCTATCTTATCTACGATATCTTATCTTATCATTTGGCTTGGGAAAACCAACACTAAACAAACTATACCCTAGAACTACCTGAAGTGTGTTTTTGAGAGTGTTATTGCATCGCGCCCCTTACCTCGGTAATTGCTTCAATGTTATGCAATTATACAAATAACAGTTTTCGATATAAATAGTTCATCACTCTTGAAAATTCCCATAGAGGCTACCATTGTTCATTTTGTGAGTATTACAGGCGCCTTTGCTGTAAGCCAAGGTCTGAACAACAGGAACAACCATCTCATCAGCGTAGCTTTCGGGTTCTCAAAAGCAAACCATGTCTCCATACCGCATCTCCAAAGGACACCCCTTCAACCCATGTCCCGCTGTAGATCCCGTATTCCAGAAGGATCATCCTAGCCTGGAACTACCAAGAGCCGCCAAGCACGATTTTATCTCAAAAGATCCCTCTGTCAATGTAAGCCACCTTCAAAAATTGCAGTTTTAAGTCAGCGGCTTTTCACGTTGCACAAAGCGCACCGCAGGTCAGCAGATCCCGTATTAAAGTTCCATCCGATCGGGCTGATTATTCCTCCGAGCCAACCCCCGGCTCCTGATCCTGATCCTTCAATTGGAATGGTAGCCCAAACCATTCGATTAGATCTCTGGTTGTCCCTTGATTTCTGCTAAGGGTTGATCGTTCTGTTTATTTCTGATCGAATCAGAAATTCCGAATTCCGAAGAATGCCGCCTCCCAATTGTCTCCTCCAGGTCGAGGACACCTTTGGACCCATTGTCAAGGGATGCGGGTCTAATTTCGACTTCACCTTGTTGTTTGAGGAGACGATTCTTTGTATTCTTCCACTTTGTGTCGCTATTTGTCTTGCTGTCTTTCGAATTACGCGACTTTGGAGAAAGCCGGTGATATTCAAGGGTTGTTTCATATTGCCGCTGAAGTTGGTATGTCGATCTCTCTTACGTTGTCCTGCCATGCGCTGTGCAAAGGTGATTGTAAACTAATGTGATGGCCTCAAGATCGCATGGACACTGGTCCTAGGATCGCAAACGAGTACAGTCGCGCTTTTCTCGATCCGCGATGAAACACGAACCAGAGCCAGTATCGCCGCGGGAAGTATTGGTATACTCGGCTCCGCGATACTAGCATGTCTGTCTTTCCTGGAGCACCAGCGCGCGGTGCGCACCTCGTCCATCTTGGTCCTCTACCTCCTGTCGACTATCCCCATGGATGCCGCTCGCGCTCGAACCCTTTGGCGAATGCTAGATGGACGAGACCCGGCCATTGCTGTTATGGTGCTGGCAAGTACTAAGGTTTGCGCCCTGGTCACTGAGATGCTGTGGAAATGTTCGTTGGTAAACAGGCATGAATTATGCGACGCACCAGAGGAGAGCAATGGTATCATTGAACGAGCGCTTATGCTGCGAATGATGCCGATCTTCTGGGCTGGGTACCGCACGCCGCTACAAACTGAACATCTTTCCAAGCTTGACACCAAATTGCAGAATGCCCAATTGAGGCCGACCGAAAAAGGCATGTTCCCACGAAGCACGTATCACTGCAAACATGGCGACTGACAATTGCTAGGACCAAAGAGGAACCAAGCGCCGATCAAGCTTGCAAAAGAGATCTTCTTCTCTCACATTATCGAGTTTCTGGCACCCATATTTCCCCGATTCTGCTACCTCGCCTTGACCTTTGCCCAACCATTCCTCGTCCGTCGAGCGATCGACTACATCTCGAAACCAAAGACCGACGGCTCAACGGAGAGAGGTGATGGACTCATTGCAGCATATGCTCTTGTCTACTATGGCATTGCAGTAAGATCTCATCCCCTGTGGCCAGAAGCCGTGTTACTAACAAGAACCACTTAGTTCGTCTCCTCACTGTACGAACAGAGCGCTGTTCGAGCCACTACCGTTGTCCGCGCCGACTTGTCTATGCGAATCTACCAGCAATCACTCCTTCTGGATCGCGTCGTGGACACAGGAGATTCAAGTACAACGATGATGACTGCTGATGTCGAGCGTGTACAGCTCGGAGTCCGCAAGATACACGATGCTTGGGCGAGCTTTGTATCTGTTGCAATTGGACTCTGGTTGATTGAAGCACAGCTAGGCCTTGCAGCCTTAGTCACTTTGGGGCTGATAGGAGGTAAGTCATCTCACGACGGCCACGGCATTGTTATGGTAGAGAACTGACAGTAGACAGGCTCCTTGCTGCTTGGCGGGTATTGGTCAGGACGCGCTAGCAGATTTCAGAAGAACTGGATGGCGGCCATTGAGAAGCGTCTTCACAAGACAGTCCAGGTTTTGAAGGGTATCAAGAGTATCAAGCAGATGGGCGCGGCGCCAGCGATAAAGACCATGCTTGAAGATGAGAGACAATCGGAGATCAAGCTATCAAAGAGATTTAGACTGCAGCTCATTGCACTGGTGACCTTGTGTAAGTTATCAAAATCTTCGTCTTGACCATCCGCTGACCAATATATAGCCTTCACCTCTCTTACCATGCTCCCTGCCCTGGGTCTCAGTGTACACAACGCCGTAGCGGACAAGTCATCAGGACGAATCCTGACCGCTCAAACAGCCTTCCAGGTCATGACCCTCTTCAACATCGTCAGCTCAAGTATACAAGACTGCACATCCCACGTAATGGCCATTATGGTAGGCCTCGGCTCACTGCAACGTATTGAGAGCTTCCTCAACCAGCATACCTGGACAGATCCTCGAAAATCGATCAGAGATGCTAGCATCAGTACAGATGAGAGCTCTGTTGGTGGTACGAGCGAGAAGAAGGTCCTCACTGACGTGGCTGTCAAAATTCAGAACGTCAGCTCAAAGTGGACTGAAGATGGTGAAGCTGTTATCAAGGATGCTACGTTTGATGTACCAGCTCATGGATTGACTGTAATTGCTGGACCGACAGGTAGTGGAAAGTCGACACTGCTACGTGTCGTACTTGGCGATCTTGCGCCGTCCTCTGGAACCGTGTCGGTTGACGACTCACAAGTTGCTTTCTGTGACCAGACTCCGTGGATCGCTAACATCAGTATCAAAGAGAACATCGTCGGCGCTTTGCCTTTCTATGAAGAGCGATATCGAATGGCGCTTCATGCATGCGCGCTTGATCAGGATATCGAGGATCTTACGGATGGGGATAAGCATTTGTGTGGATTGAATGGACAGTCTGTCAGCGGAGGACAGAAAGTTCGCATTGTGAGTAACCTCCTCCAACATGAAATATTGCGTATACTGATGACGGCTCTAGGCTCTAGCGCGTGCCATCTACTCCAAGGCTACCCTTGTTCTTCTTGACGATTGTCTGGTAGGTCTTGACACCAACACTGAGCGCCACATCCTCGGTGAGATCTTCGCACCCCGAGGTCTTCTCAGCAGTGCTCCCACCACGACTATCCTCGCCACAAGTTCACGTAAGTTCACCTCTCCCTTAATTTACGCTCACTAACAGCATATAGCGAGATACCTTCCATTCGCCAACTACATCATCCTCATTAACGCCGACGGTCGTGTTGTTCGGCAAGGCACATACGCTGAGATCGCACCACATATTGAACAGCTCGAACATGACGTGCTACAAGTATCAGATCGTGCCTCTACTGCACGAGAACCTAGAGCCCAAGACTCTGACGAACTACCCAACACTGCAATCACAAATGACATCGCCTTCAAGAAAGGCGCCAATGGTGATTGGGCTGTGTATAAATGGTACTTTGGAGTCATCGGCTGGATGGATTTTATCGTCTTTCTGTTTCTCTGCTTGCTATTCGTGATAGGCGTCATATTTCCACGTAAGCCATTCACCCCATCTCAATAGTTGTCTCCACCAGATACTGACATTGATAGAAATCTGGCTTGGACTCTGGACGGAGAAGAGTCTCCAGGACCAAATCGATACACTCCCGTCATTCTATGGCGTTTTCTTTGGAGTTGGCTCGATGGCCTGGGTAGCTCTCTTTTCAGCATGTGTCTGGCTCTTCCTACGCATCGCAGTTCGGACTGCAGCTTTGTTTCACCATCTTATTCTTACCACGACACTAAAGTATGCTATCCCTCCATCCATCCTTTTTTCGCCCTTGCTAACAGCGGTTTAGTGCCAGAATGGATTTCTTCTCGCAGACGGACAGTGGAGTCACGTTAAACAGGTACGATCACGAACTGTTGTGCACAGACACTCGCTAATCGCAACGGCCCTTAGATTTAGCCAGGACCTGCAGATCACCGATATGGAGCTACCACTAGCTTTCGTTGGCGCCACGATGAACTTGCTGATGCTTATCGCGCAGTGCATCGTTGTCACCATCCAATCTCACTACGCTGGCTTTGCAATTTTGGCAATTGCTGTTGTAATTGGATTCTTTCATGAGTTTTATCTTCGAACATCTCGAAGACTTCGTGTCATGGATATCGAGGCAAGGTCACCTGTCTTGTCCCTTCTTCTTGAGTCTCTTGATGGACTCGCTACTGTTCGTGCATATGGTTGGGCAGCATGGTACTTACGAAGAGGAATCGAGGTTCTCGAGCGATCACAAGTGCCTTTCCACTTCTTACAGTCTGCACAAGTTACACTCAACCTCTCAGTAGACCTGTTCGTGGCGACTCTGGCTCTTGTGGTCATATCTATCGCTGTTGTCCAGATGAACACCAGTGGCGGTAGTCTTGGCCTTGCGCTATTTAACATCGTGGGTCTTGGACAATCAGTCAAGGGTGTTGTATTCTTCTGGACTTCACTTGAGATCACACTTGGTGCAGTAGCTCGTATCAGAGACTTTACTCAAGACACGCACTCGGAACATGAGTCGGATACTAAGCCTCCGGCGGAGTGGCCGTCGAGGGGAGAGATTCACTTCAGCGATGTTACGCTCACTCATTCGTAAGTGCAACATCTCAGCGATAGAGCCATTAGAGAACTAACCCACGGTACAGAACCTCGTTGCCACCAACTATCTCGAATCTTACACTGGATATCAAGCCAGGCTCCAAGATGGCTATTTGCGGCCGGACGGGAAGGTATGTTCCTCGTAACCAGATACTGAATTCAGCTGTCACAGGATGCTAACTCATCTGTCAACAGCGGAAAGAGCACGCTGGTCAATTCATTGCTTGGCCTGGTACAGGTGTCTTCAGGTCTCATCAGTATTGACGATGTTGACATCTCAACCCTGGCCAAGGATGAAGTGCGGTCTCGCTTCGTCGTTCTTCCGCAAGAGTCACTCATTCTCTCGGTGAGTATACGAGAGTATGCAAAACTCTTCGGAATTTCAGACGAGCAAGAGATCATCCAAGGCCTAAAGAAGACTGGCCTCTGGCAGACCATTGAGCAAGGAGGCGGTCTAGATATGATCGCTTCAAGCGACACCTTCTCCCACGGAGAGCGCCAGCTGTTCGCCATGACATTAGCTTGCCTCAAGAAGGGAAAGATTGTCTTGATGGATGAACCAACCAGCCAGTAAGCTGCACACGCGACACAACTCTTACAGTTCACTGCTAACCTTATCAGCGTCGACAATGATATCCAGACTCAACTGCGTCAGACAGTATTTGACACGTTCCCTGATAGCACTGTCCTTTGTGTCACGCATCAGGTTGCAACGATCGTTGAATTTGATATAGTTCTAGTACTAGATGATGGCAAGATTGTTGAGCAAGGTGACCCCAAGGAACTACTGCGTCAGCCAACCTCTCGCTTCGCACAGCTGTACTCAGCTGGTGAGCTTTGACCTCGAGGATAAGATTATGCAATGCATGCTGCACGCACCTTTGTCATCATGACACCTGACTTCGGGTGTGCCGGACAGTCAGCTATAATTAGATTTCTATCATGTACTTTCAGTATTTCTATTTCTCATTTTCGTATTCCATCCTTGTCTTGAGATGGTGATAAAAGCCCTAATATACAACCACCATTAAAGCTTGCTCTGTCTTTCCTTGCACAGTATCTTTAAACACTCAGATGATGGGCTATCACTATGGTCCTTGCATTTCTCTGCAGTTCATGGATATCCAATTGGCAAGTCTTCATACCAAACCTTCTCAATAGACTCCCGTTGCTTCCACCTCACCGACGCCATGCCTGCGTGGCCTCTGTTGGTCGTAGCAATCAAAGCCGACTGCTTATCCGGCTGTTCCGTCCTGTCAGATCACTACCCATCTCTCGAAATGCCTCGGGTCCTTGCAACTCCAATGGTATACCCAGATTAGACCATAGCGCTACACGGCCTGCAATTGCATTAGCGCAGGCGCAGTTCCTCCCAAAGTCCACACATAAACACTAACTTAGCGTCGGATCTGCTGATGTTTCCTGCTTACCTTACCCCTCAATAACTGGATCTACTTTGTCACTTACTGGTCAGAGCTTTATGATAATGTTTGTAGTGCTGATATTATACTGTACATAACTGGAAGCATCTCCGAGGTCCCAAACATGCGAGTGCATATGCAGGATGAGGGAACACCAAACTACATTGCCGAAGTTCAAGCTAGCGGCCAACCTGCATACGGCCTTCCCAATGGACGTTCGCGTGGCGTTACTGTATTGGTTGGAGTCGGACAGGGGGGGTTTTATCCCGCACTGACAGCCGACCCATCATCTGCAGCATGAACCGTAAAGCTTGGTTTACCACGCGGTTGGTTCTCAAACGGCTGGTGCTCAAGTCCGTGTTGCAGCGTATGTAGTACAAATGCAATGTCTTTCTGAGGCACAGTGCTAACTACCGGCCTTGGCGGAGGAAACGGTGAAGCAAATAACCTTTTTGCAAGATCAGGGGGCAACCAACAGAGATATAACTGTTTGCTACTGTATCACCCGTTATCCTAAATCACTCATCTGATATCCACGTGTCGCGATGATCAAGCAAGCGTTACCCATAGATCAGAGAGGAAGGTAAGGGTTATTCGCCCCGGCGTGAGCTAGGGACGCGCCGTATCTCTGGGTCGATGTCGCATTTTTACACTACGGCCCGCAAGGATATCGTGTTAGCGCCGGACCAAGAGTTGGCAACTCGATTCAGAGAGAATTATTTCCAGCATAATAACGCTTTTATATAGCATTAAATTGGCGCAGATGGAACCCCCTTTACTCCATGTAATTCCCGTCCATTTCTCGCTTTTTTCACCTCGTTCCTGTACCTGAAACTGGCTACTCGTTCCCCATATCTTAAAGGATTCGGACCCGCTATGTTGGTGCTACTGCAAGCGTCATATCATGAACCCCGTAATAACCATTCCAGAAACAGGTCCGATCGTCAAAAGAGGCGCAGAAAACACTTAAGAACTTCTTGTTGCATCCATAGTGCGATATTTCACCAAGTAGAGCAACTCAAACTATACTAGTGACAGCTAGATCACGCGCCAACCGTGATTAATATTACGACAATGGCAGTGCAGTAGCTCGTGGAGCTAACAACCAACACGCCGGACCCTTGCGGGCTGCGGTGGGGACAATGAACCAGGAAACTGGACACGCCGTGTTCTCATGTGGTGATTACCGAGCGAGCGTATCATGGCCAGTCTCTGGCCGTGTCCATATGTATGTGCCCTTGCCGGTGGTGTCATGAACTATTCCATACCCTTCTCATGTAACTTTTGCCCCCAGAGTTACAAGACTTTGGGACGAATTCTTTCAGTATACCCCAATTTGTTTTGACGTTTGTTTTTTTGCAATGCCTTCCCAGATTCCACAATGGCGAGAGCCAATTGCCATTGTAAGCATGGCTTGTCGTCTCCCAGGCGGAATCGACAAGCCACTTGACCTATGGGACCATGTCCGAGCAGGTCGCTCATCCGCTACAGCGATACCCAAAGATCGATTCAATGCTGAGAACTTTCTATCCATGGATCCTAATCAGAAGGGAGCTCAGGCCTTCAGGGGTGCTCACTTCGTCAAGAGGGACATTAAGCAGTTTGATCACAAGTTCTTTGGTATTAGCAAAGACACTGCAACAGCTATGGATCCTCAGCAGAAACAGCTGCTCGAGGTTGTCTATGAGTGTCTTGAGTCAGCTAACATCTCTATGGAAACAATCTCAAAGTCAAAGATTGGCTGCTATTGTGCCATGTTTGTGAGTGATTACCACGACATGCTCATGCAAGACCCTGAATATCTTCCAACCTTTATCGCTATTGGAACAACACGAACCATGCTTGCAAACCGCATCAGTCATGCACTCGATCTTGGTGGACCCAGGTATGTTGTCATTTCCCAAAGGAGGCGATTACAGTGCTGACGCCTCATGCAGTGTCACCATCGATACTGCCTGTTCGGGTGCCCTGGTGGCACTTCATCTTGCCTGCCAAGCACTGCAGGCTGGGGAGTGTGACGGCGCTGTGATTGGTGCATCTAATCTGTTCCTGAGTCCTGATTATGCTTTGTCTTTGACGCGTCTCGGTGCTATTGCTGCGGATGGTCAGTGTAAGACATTTGATGCTAGCGCTAATGGATATGGACGTGGTGAAGGAACCAATGCCGTCTATGTCAAGAGGCTCAGCGATGCGATCAGAGATGGAGACAGCATCCGAGCGGTCATCAGGGGCACTTCATCTAATAGGTTCGTCTGCTCCGTTTTGATCCAAGACTCAGACACTAACAGCTTCAGTTCTGGTGCCACTCCAGCCATCACGGAGCCATCCGGACGAGCTCAGGCAGATACCATCTTGCAGGCCTATGCCCAAGCAGGAATCAATGACTTTAGTGAGACAGGGTACTTTGAGTGCCATGGAACAGGTACACCCGTTGGCGATTGCATAGAGCTGGGCGCCGTTGGCTCAGTCTTTTCTGAAAGCCACAAGACCCAAGATGCACTCTGGGTCGGTTCTGTAAGTCAATCCTTTCTTGTTGTCAGTAGAAGATATACTAACATGAACAGACAAAACCAAACGTCGGACATTCAGAGGCTGCTAGTGGTTTGAGCAGTCTCATCAAGGTGGTCTTGGCTCTGGAAAAGGGCGAGATCCCTCCCAACACAAATTACAAGACACCCAACCCCAAGAGTATGTATCCTCCTCACCCACTTTGAACTCGACTAACCGTGATTTACGTAGTTGACTTTGATGGATGGAGAGTTCGTGTTCCAACCGCTCCCCAGCCATGGCCTTCCAAGTCCATCCGCCGGGCAAGCGTCAACTCGCTTGGTATCGGTGGATCTACTGCACACGCTGTCGTTGAGTTCTACGAACCGCCTCAACTGACCAATGGTTCAACCAATGGTGCAAACAGAGTCAATGGCACTCACAGCATCAATGGAACCAACGGCGTCAACGGTGTCAACGACTATCACGAAGAAGGGGAAAAGTCTAACGACCCCTACTTCCTTCTCTTCACATCTGGTGCTTCTAAGAGCTCTCGGGAGACGAACGAACAGAACCTCTTGGAGTTTCTCAAGACTCACGAAGAGTGCAAGGGCCTGACTAGTCCTCTTGTCAAAGCTCTAAATGCACGAAGCCAGATCAATATCCGACCATGGAAATCGTTTGCTGTCGCTCAGTCAGTTGACGACCTCATCCAGCAGCTCGAAACCAACGCACTCAAGGTTGGAACAGGACCTACAAGTGGTGATTCCCCACGAGTCTTGTTCACATTCACAGGTCAAGGAGCTATGTGGTCACAAATGGGTAAACGTCTCCTCGATGCATTCCCTGTGGCGCGCAACAGTTTGTACAATCTTGAGGAGGTTATAAGAGAACTTCAGTCATCCAAGACACCAACTTGGTCGTTGATAGGTACGTTTAGATGCAACATCATCTGGACTTGACAGTTACTGACACTCTCGCAGACAAGCTCACTACTGAGCTCTCTCAAGAGGAGATTGATTCGCCAGCTCTCGCGCATCCCCTCTCCATGGCGGTCCAGATCGCGTTAACAGACGTTCTGTCAAGCTGGGGTGTCCTTCCAGATGGCGTTGTTGGCCATTCCGGTGGAGAAACAGCCGCTGCCTACGCCTGTGGTGCTCTCACAGCCAAGGAGGCCATCACAGTGGCTTATTACCGAGGCATTGCCTGCCAGAACGCTCCGTCAGGTGCTATGCTGGCCACTAGGAGCGCACCCAAGGCGAAGGAGCTGCAAGATGCATTGGAGCGAAACGATGTGCAGATTGCTTGCTTCAACGGCCCTCAGAATCTCACTCTCGCTGGTTCTGCTGAGGGAGTCAAGAATGTGGCTGCTGAGCTTAGCACCCATGGCATTGTCTCTAGGGCTGTTGCAGTGACTCGAGCCTATCACACTCGGGCCATGAAGACAGTTGTGGACGAGTACGTCGGTCAGCTCAAGGGTGTTATACAACCTAAGACTGGCCGAGTTCCTATGTACTCATCTGTTACTGGTCTTGAGCTGAAGGGTACCGAGGTTGACGCTGACTATTGGGGAGCCAACCTCGTCTCTCCAGTTCTTTACACCGATGCAGTCACGCTGGCTTTGACCTCATCAGACCGCAAGTTCGATCTTTGCGTTGAACTCGGTCCTCATTCTCTGCTTTCTCGTCCTACATCCGAGATTGTCAAGTCTCTTCCTAACTCACCTCAACTTCCCTTCTTCGCCACAATGCTTCGGAACGCAGACTCAAGCCAGCAACTCATGAGCCTCGCTGGAGACTTAGTTCTCAATGGGAAGCAGTTGGATCTGGATCAAGTCAACAAGATCGCAGGCAAGACTGGGCGTCTTCCCAACCATCTCCAAGACAACCTGCCAGCTTACGCCTGGGACTATTCCTCAACGCCGTGGACCGAGCCACGAAACAGTCAGGAGTGGCGATTCAGGAAGTCGCCACGACATGAGATTCTGGGATCTCGCTGCAGAGGAGTGAATCCTTCGGCTCCAACATGGAGGAACAAGGTGTCGATAGAAGATGCGCCTTGGCTGGTTGACCATCAGGTAGGTGAAGAGTACGCATCAGACATGAGACAAGGCTAATGCTAGACAGGTCAACGGTATTGTGACATTTTCCTTCACTACCGGCATTGCGATGGTCGTTGAGGCCATGATGCAGGTACAGGAAGAGAACAAGGAGATTGACTGGGCGAACCATTCGTTCGAGCTTCAAGACTTTGTCTTTTCCAACTCCATCATTCTCCCTGACGAGTCGCCCATTGATCTCTTCCTCACACTCATCCCAGACAACGATAATGCCAAGTCCGAGGAGACGTGGTATGACTTTACTATCTCTTCGCTGAGAGGCGATGTCGATATCCGTCATTGCCACGGCAGAGCTGCAGTCCTCGAAAGTGAGTGATCCGCGACAAACAGCCAGTAGTCTGAGCTAACAATCTCCCAGCGAGCAAAGATAACGTTGCTCTTCGCCGCAGAACCTCGTGGCACCATATGCCCCTCAGGGTCCCGTTGAAGAGCTACTACAAGACTCTCGAACGAGTTGGCTACGGCTACGGTCCCAAGTTCCAGCTTCTCAACGAAGTCCGAGTCCGCCCCAGTCTCTCCGCTTGCTCTGCCAAGATCGATATGACATCCACTGCTCAATCTCCCGTTCCAGGCCAGCGCTATCTCCTGCACCCAGCCATGATGGATGCCGCTCTTCAAACACCTGCTTTGGCTAATCGCTCTGGCTACTTTCAAGAGATCGATACCTTACTTCTTCCATCCAAGATGAAGAGGATCTCGATCCGCATGCCCGCTGAGAACACGGACGTCGCGTCTTGTACTACCAATACATCACCTGTTGGCTTTAGCAGGATCCAAGGTAGTGTCGAGTGTTATGACTCGTTATCGAGGCCTTTCTTTGTTGTTGAAGGTCTACAGATGGACAGGGCTACGAGTGATGACAATACTACCCTCCCTTGGCTGAGACTTACGTGGAAACCTGACATCGGCGACATTTCGAGCAGTGACCCTATGCTCAGCTCCATCAAGATCAAGAGCCTCCCCGCGGAGAAGAAGCTCGTCAACCTTGAGAACCTGGTCAAGGAGTTGATCCCACTCATCGTTGAGAATGGTATCGAGAAGGGCAAAGACTTGGCTCCCCACCTACTCAGCTACCATTCATGGTTCCTCGACCAAGCTGAAGCGCACAAAGACCGCTTAGCGGCCCGTCACAAGCAACAAAATGGCTTCGCAACAGTCCAAGACGCCATCATGAACGTCGTTGCCAACTCTGGAATCTCTCAAACCGTCGACGCATCAATCGTATCCCAACTCGCCATCAACATGTCCAGAATCTTCCGCGGCGAAGTCGAAGCCCTTGCAGTATGGCTCGAGAACGACCTACTCTACCGCTTCTACGAAGAAAGTATCTTCACCACCAGCATGAACCAGAAACTTCTCTCCGTCGCTGAGCTCTTGGCGCACAAGAATCCCAACATGAAGATCCTGGAGATTGGGGCTGGAACTGGTGGCGCCACTACCGAGTTGCTACGTGGGTTCTCCAAGGCTGGAGGGAAGAATGCGTACCAGTCTTTTACTTTTACTGATATCTCGGCTGGCTTCTTTGATAAGGCGAAGAAGAAGTTTGCGCAGTGGGATAGGATTGAGTTCAAGACTCTTGATGTTGAGAAGGATATTGCTGAGCAGGGATTTACTGAGAAGTATGACCTTGTTGTTGCAGCTAATGTAAGTTTCAGATGTCGTGAAGGTTCCTTCGGATACTGATCGTTCTACGTTAGGTTCTACACGCCACTGCCGATCTCCCATTTGCCATGAAGAACATTCGATCTTTGTTGCGCGACGATGGATACCTCTTGGTTGGTGAACTTTCAGAGGGTACGTAACATCACTCATGTCACTGAGGTTTGGCTAACATTTGTACTTGCAGACTTGACTTCAGCCAACTTCCTCTGGGTAAGACCAACACCCAATAATTTACATGCCATTGCTAACTCTTATGTAGGGACCGTTGACTGGCTGGTGGCTCCGCCCTCGATCACCCGGCCGCTCTGGCCCTGGTCTTACTCTCGACGAGTGGCGCGACGAGCTCGCTGCCGACTTTGACAGCGTCTCTGAGATTGAGGCCAAGCACGACAAGAGTGACACTGACCAACTGTCGAGCACTATCGTCATGATGGCTCGAGCTAAGCCCGCTAATTACACTCCGCCCAAGCCGCTTTCTGAGGAGAAGGTACATATCGCTGGAGTCGGTAGCGATCTGTCCACTCGAGACCACCTTCAGAAGTATCTCGGCACGCGTGGTATTTCGGCAAGCTCTAGTACCCTTGAGGACCTTGCTTCGCGAGAATGGTCTGGGGAGTGGCTTATCCTCATTGACGAGACTGAAGGAAGTTTTCTTGCATCTCTTCAACCAGAGCAATTGACCGCGTTGAAATCGTGGCTCACCAAGCCCATCAAGTGCATCTGGGTTACCCGCAAGGTATACCTCGACCCCCAGAACACAACAGGAGGTCTTGTCACTGGTTTTGCACGAACCCTCCGCGGCGAAAACAGTCAATGCCAGCTGTACACTCTTGACTTGAGCAGTGATGGCGATATCACGGCCAACGTCATCTACCACGTCTTGGAACGGGCGCATTACTCTCATGATGATCCAATCTCCAGGCTGGACTACGAGATTGCCGAAAAATACGGTCAGCTCTGGACATGCAGACTTGTCAATGACGCCCTGCTTGAGAATGCTTATGGTCCTGCTCGAAAGATGGATGCCCCCTCGACGCAGGTGGTGAAGGCTCCTCACCACTTGATCATGGGAGAGGTAGGAATTCTGGAGAGTCTGACTATGGCGCAAGATGATGCATATACCGCAATTCCAGATGGGCATGTTCTTGTCGAGGTGAAGGCTGTCGGACTTGATGAACGGGTAAGTACATATGTCTTCTCTGTCGACCGTTGATCTAACACTGCACTAGGATGGATTCATCGTCCAAGGGTCTCTTCCAGCGACATCGTTCGGCCGCGAGTGCTCAGGTGTCGTCACAAGTTGCGGCGCCAACGTCGCATCGTTCAGCCCTGGAGATCGCGTTGCGGTCATCGGCCAAGGAACTTTCACAACGCAGTACCTGGCACCTTCAGACTGCTGCAGAAAGATACCTGACTGGCTTTCATTCGAGGTAAGAGGAGTCCCGTTGCTGCTGTGATTGAGCATGGCTAACCTTGATGTAGGATGCGGCGGCCATTCCTACAAGCTTCGTTACTGCTTTGTACGCGCTGACTACGCCTGCCAGAGTATCAACAGGACAGGTATGTACCATGCCCCCTTCAACTCCATACCCCTTCAACAACAGGCAATATTAACTCAGGGACAGAAAATACTCATCGTCAACGCATCTTCCACCCAAGGCGTCGCCCTCATCAAGATGGCAACAGCCCTGAAGCTTGACGTCTACGCTGCCATCAGCGACGCAACCAACAAGCCCATCCTCACCAGACTCGGACTTCATTCTGCCAAGATCTTTGTAAACCCAACCAACACCAGCCGTTCCAGCGTCTCTCGCTCCACGACTTTCCAAGCGTACAAGCTCGTGCTGAACACCAAGTCGGGTCAATATCCAGACTTTGCTCATTTGGTAGCGAACCGTGGAACGTACATCGAGATTGCATCGGGCGAGGCCTCTAGTGATGAGGTCCATCTTGCGCCGAATAAGAATGTCATGTTTGCTTCTGTTGATTTGGCGGATGCTTATCAGGAGAGCAAGCAGGATCTCGGAGAGTAAGTGATCGGTTTAATTCGTGCCTAATCCCCAATAGCTGACCTTCGTATTAGCTTGCTTGACCAGGTGATTGACTTGGTTGAGAGGCGGGAGATCGACGTTGACACTTCGGCCTCGGTGACTGGACTTGACTCTATTCAGTCAGCCTTTTCATCACTTGTAGAGGGTAATCAGCAAAAGCAGGTTGTATCACTCACGAATGTCGACGGTCAGCAATTGATCAAAGTAAGTGTTTTCACTCTCTCAGCGACAAGGCTGTATCTAATCGTGATCTAGACACGACCCAAGACTTCTCGCTTCAACCCCCACAAGACCTACATCATCACAGGCGGCCTCGGTGGTCTAGGCCGTGCCATTTCAGTCTGGATGGCTAGCTACGGCGCTCGACACATTATTCTGGCCACTAGCTCTGTTGCCCGGGCCTCAGAGTCTGGTGACCTTCTGCAGCAACTTTCATCATACGGCTGCAATGGTAGAGTTGAAGTTTGCGACGTCGGTGACTCCGAGGCTGTCGAGCGCCTCGTTGCTTCCATCGACACCCCTGTTGGTGGAGTTATTCACTCTGCCTTGAGACTGAGCGTGAGTCTACCCATGATCTTGATGATGTTCACATATCTAACCGTATACAGGACTGCTTCTTTGAGGACATCACTCTGGAAGACTTCGATGCCGTCTTTGGTCCCAAGGTCAATGGCTCGCTGAACCTCCATAACAGCCTTCTCAACCAAGACCTCGACTTCTTCGTCATGCTCAGTTCAGGCTGTGGAGTCTTGGGTAACGAGGGTCAATCCAACTACGCAGCAAGCAGTACTTTCCTCGACACCTTTGCTCGATACCGTCAAAGTCTCGGACTCCCTGCATCGTCTGTCGATCTCGGATTTGTCGAGGACGTCGGCAACATCAGTGAGCGTCCTGAGATCCAGGCTTCCCTGTTATCTCGTGGGCTTAGACCCATTACAGTCCGAGATGTCCTACGTGTTGTCGAGGGTGCTATCGCAACGGGTTCGCCCAAGAATCTCATCACAGAGTCTACTTACGATGGCTTCGTCGAGAGTCAGATTGTTCTCAGCTTTGGCATGATCGACAAAGCCACAGCAGAGTACCAGTCTTGGGCGCAAGACGCAAAGTTCGGTCTATTGCGATCTCGCGCCGCTGACAATGCAGCTCTTGACTCCGATGCTGATAGTGGCGAGAGTGCAGTCCAAACAGCTGTCAAGGCCTTCCGAAGCACTCTGGGTCGATTGGGTGATGCACCTGAAGGCAAAGAGGCAGCTTTACAGCCCTTCGTCTGCACTGCTCTTGTTGCCAAGCTGGCACAAGTACTGTCGATCAAGGTTGCCGACATTCAGCCTTCGAGATCCGCGATCCAGTATGGAATGGACTCGCTTATTGCGATTGAGGTTCGATCTTGGGCGCGATATGCGTTCCAGATTGATTTGCCTATTAATGATCTGACGAACCCGTATAGTATCCAGGATTTGTCGGCTAGGGTTTCTAGAATGATTGTCGGATGAATGTGATGAGTTCTTTGGGTGTTTCGGTTTACAGCGGATTGGTGGCTCTTGTCATTTCTCGTTCCTTGTATGCGTTTTCGTTTGTTGGAGCTTCACGATATTTATGACACGTCAATCGAATACACTTGTTGCTTTCTGAGATCATATGCCTCCCGCATAGCCGTATCCATCTATGTATGTGCCCTTTATAAGATATCTCTCCCTGCTCATAATCACGCCTGAGACCAACCCTCGCAGCCAGCGAGCCAAAAAAAAGAATTAATGCTATGTAACACCAAAAATATGCAATTCAGTCCCATCAAAGGGTCTTGTCTCGAGACTTGATATTTCGTAACCCAACACGGCATCTATCCTCATCGTGGCATAGAAGATTCCGACATAGAAGTCGACACTGACGCCGAGACTGAAGCTGGCGCGGAATTTGATGGTGTGGACGAACCAGGTGACGGCTTCTGAGCACACATCGTTATTCTGCGTCGTAGGTCAGCTACCCTTCTTGTAACAAATGAGAAGTTTGGTACTTACAATGTCATAAATGAATGGTATTTTGTGTTCCCAATCTCTTTCTTCACATCCACCAGAAACTTCTTGACCTGCTCCGGCGACCAACCCAAGCCTTGCGTAAAAACGGGCATCGTCAACGGCTCAAGAATAAACAACCAATTCTGCGTCATAAGATGCCCTATGCGTTGTAACTTCTTCCCAGGATAGCATGCATTCGTCGGCGCTCCGTGTCTCGTCTCGATGATGCGCTCAAAACCGACTTCTTGTAGGATTGGTTTGAACTTTTCCGGGTATTTCAGTGTTGTGCCAAAATTCCGCATCCCTTGCTCTAGTAAATCGTTCCATCTTCGGAATGCGGTGCCGTTTAATGAGTGGTTCGGTGATTGCAGGATGGCGATCCATTCTGTGAACTCAACCCATCCTCCTGGCCTCAAATTGTCAAATGCCGATTGGACTAACTTCCTCTTATCTCCAATATCGCCTAGTTGTCGGATGTGAATGAAATCGAAGTTGCCGCCATTGAAAATATCCCAGTCGTGTGTGATATCGAATGTTTTAAAGCTGCAATTGGATTTTGTATATGGTGGGTGGACTGGTTCAATATCGACGCCTAAAACAGAACAGGAAGGGTATTTCGTGGCTGCCAAACGTTAGCGTCAGTAACAGAAAGGCGATGAAGCCTGAGGCGTACCAAATTCCTGTAGCATCGATATCAGCAAGATTTTACATCATGAGATTCCTTGAGAACTTACCAATGCCCATGTCCCAGGTCCAGTACCGACATCAAGCACCCGCTTCGGCCTTGACGTTATCGGTGATAAGTGAAGTCCCTTGAAGATATTGATGATAACGGTATGTTGAATGACTAAGCGCAATCTTATCAGTGAATCCGCGGGTTAAAGAGTGCCGAGTGCATCATACCATTTCTGTCTTGCTCTTGCTAAGCCGAAAGCGTATTAGTATCCGAGTACCCGTATCGTTATCACAACGTGTGATTGCAACATACCTGGCTATTCGGCACCAAACCGTACCCTGTTCGTCGTCGTTTGGTTAATTCTCGGATGCTAGTGTGAAGCAGGGGAGGGGGGGAAACGAACGAACAGAGGATTTGGTGAATTTGGCGACGAATGCTTGGAAGAACCGTTTGGACCGCGACCCACTGAGACGCATTAGCATGGGAGCAAACAATGGAGCCAACCCACCAATCAGTGAATCAGTATCTGAACCGATTCTGAGACTTACCGTTCCATAGGCTTGTAACTCGTAACAAACTCATCCGAAGAATCAGAAGAGTCCTCTACACTGTTCGTCTTGACGACATGGTCCTCCCTTGCAGCCGCCGCCGGGGAGAGCGTTTGCCGGTCCCATCCGCCTGAGCGTCGGGTAACAGGTGTCCCGGGGAGGCCCCCTGTCTGCATCTGGCTGTCACTAGACACGCTAGAGGCGTAGTTCGACGACGATGAGGCGGTGAGAGTCGTCTGTGCAGGGGGCCTTGCCATGGCTGACGACTGTAGAAATTCCGTGGACCCCCCGCCAGCGCCAGCACCGCCGCCGCCGCTGCGAATCGAGCTCGAGTCGCGTCCATTGTTGTCCATCGAGTGAGCCATTTTCGTTGCTAATAAACACGCGGGCCGCGCCGAAGCCTAACAGCTTGGGGGGTTTTTTTTTTTCGTCGTTCGTCTCCTTTTTTTGTTGCTAAATTATTTTAGTTTGACAGATGGTGTCGATTTGAGGAATGGTAAAAATAAATAAATGGAATAAAAATAACTTTTGTCGGTAGTCAGACCTGCCTGCTTGCTGCAAGAAATGTATGCAGTTCTGACGTCGTCGAGTTAAAATGGCACAGCAGAGCCAACAACAGCACACAAGACACGGGACGGAAAACCTGCGCTGGATGGGGTCATGCTACTCTTCTATGTAAAAAAAGAGAGAAGAAAAAAATTGTTCCCCGACGCTGGCTGTGTTGGGTACCGAGACGGCTGAGAGCACCCTTGTTTGTTTGTCTCGTTCTCTGACGGATCATCAAAGTGCTAGCCCTGTCAAGTTTAGCTTAGTGCCCTCAACTGACAAACGGCTCGTTAGCTCTGGCCCGCCCTTTAGAGTTTGTCACATTGCGGTAGCATTAGTTTCGAATCCGTCACATAATGAGTGACTGGGAATTAATAGGCGTTGTTTTCTCGCATGTTTGCTCTGTGGTCTCGGGCGCAGAGAAAATCCCGAAATCGCGAGTATAAAAATTCACTGATCTTCAGTCGCTTCTTTTTCAGCCACCGAAGTCTGAGGACGATTGCGAATACAATAGTAATTGTAGGTAGGAGATCAATAACTTCAGGTACAAGATTTCATGTTATTTGTCGTCTCGTCTCCTTGGCACCTTATGCTGTTTGCTTCAATTTAATTGTTTGTTGGTTGTCGTGTGATCGCGTGATCTACGTCCAGCTCCTCCCAGGTGCTCTGGGCTTCAACAGCAAACGTGGCTGGCAACAGTCTCTCCCCATTATCTGCAGGCTACCCTTTCCTCTTGATTGGTGCATGTAATGATTTATGGCTTATTTTGTTCATGATTGCGTTATCATGGAGCTTATCGTAGAATTCTTTTACTTCTCGTCGGTGTTTTAAATACATCGGACCTCGATAGCTACCCTGAGGCCAGCGTATTATCTCCACCTAAGTACGTTGAGACCAAAACCTCTTGCAACTTAATTAAATGATCCAGTAAAGTAGTCAATATTACATACCATAATATCTTAGAAAGAAGGAAATGTAAATTCAAGGAGCTTATATATATAAGTCAACTTGAATTAGTATCATCATAGTGCCAAAGCTTTTATTCACAGGTCTCATTTATCGTTAATAATAGAAAAGTAAGCAATAGGATACAATATATAGCCAAATAAAATATGTGGCATAATAGCGCTATCCGCAAAGGGCGTGTTTAATCTAGACAGAGCTATAAACACTATTAAGATGCGATTTGGCACGGGTTTATGTACTATATTATAAGTGAGATTGTACTTAAAGGAGCACTGAGATACTATAAGAGGATCTCAATGAAACAAAGACATAAAGCATTAGGCTAGCTCTATAGTATGTAACAAAACTAGACGCATATAACACATACAGCATTTCAACCACGCGGCACGTCTGCTGATACAGCTAGTTCCAGTAAAGCTCGTAGTGACAACACAGCATAGTTTTAGTATGGCCCTTAATGTTTCTTTAAATAATTTATAAGTTACAGGATCAGGCTATGCACCTGGCTTAAGAACTTTGAATTCGAATCACTCATACATCGTATCCGGTGTTAAAGGTGCCGCTTGCTCATGTAGTAGCAGACCAGCTTTCTGTCTTGCATCCGTGACTCATATATATATATTGTGCTATTACAGTTGGCTGTTGTCGCAGTGATGCCAGTCAGGAGAACTGAAAGGTTTGTTTGTCTCTCTCTTTTGCAGGTTATGATTAGTGTTACTGGTGACAGGGTATTCCTTGTTTGCTGTTTGTATCTGCCTGGGAACGAGTTACACATTCACAGTAATTTGAGTAAGGTGAGATGCATGCCACCTCAATACGGTAGATCTGCTAGACCCGAAGAGAGATCAAGCGCATGCAGGATGATCTGCCAAGGCTATGCAGTCAGCCTGATCATCGGTGTAAAGTTACTCCATCGGATCCTGCACCCCATTTAAGGATCCCCGATCCAAGACCGCCCCTCGTGGGTTCATGAGTAAGTATTCTATGTTTGATTATACCCTGAATAGTTATTGGATCGATCTTGCGTAGTAATAAGGTCTTTAATGTGGTAGGTAAAAGGGCCATGCTGCATGCTAAGATACAAGATCTGATAGGATGCTGAGAAGCAACCCACTCCATCTTCAACTGTCCATAAGTCCCATTAGTACCCAGCAGTCCCTATCCTTGTAGCATTAATCCACGCCGAAGCCGCACTTTCATTACGCCGGAGCCCATTGTGCAGGACTATATACTCGACTTCACGACTAAGAACTCGAGCACGACAGCGACATATTATCCCGGGCTGTACCTAATTGTTTTCGATGAAATGTTTCAAAGGTCGAACTCCCATCTCTTGTCTTTCGAAAAGCACGGTTCGCTGAGCCGCACGCCGGAACACGATGATATCAACAGTTGGCAATCAAGCCTTGTGGATCTGTCTCCCACTTCAGCGATCTGTAACCACTCACGAGACTTGACAGATGTATGATCTCGACAGTTATCAAATTCTTGGCTACAATTGAAGCTAATCTGGCACAGTATTTGCAGCTTATCCTGACAGCAAGGGTACATGAGGTGGTCAACCCGACCCCTTTGACAAAAGCACATGGACTCAGTGAAGAACTTGGATGCAATGCCATGTTCAAACGAGAAGATACACAACCTGGATATTCCTACAGGCTGAGGGGGATATATAACAGAATGGCCAACTTAGATAAGGAACAGAGGTGGAAAGGCGTGATAACGTCTTCTGCGTGTAAGTTAAGTCCCAGAGTGCACAAGCCTGTATCTAAGATTTCATAGCCGATGCCCTAGCTGTATCATACGCGGCAAAGGAGTTTCGAACGCCATCGATAATCGTTTTGCCAGAGCATACTGCAAAAACCAAGATCAAGGAACTAACGCGTCTCGGGAGTACGGTGGAGTTGCACGGACTGAGTGCGGATGCCGCGAAAGAGGAGTCCTTGCGGCTGCAATCACTTCATGGCCTGATTGCCATTCCTCAACCTGGAGATGAATATGTCATCGCAGGTCACGGGACTATCGGACAAGAGATAATACAGCAGACGATTCATTCTCAGGTTCAAGCGGTCTTCTGCCCGGTTGCTTGCGGAACTTTGATAGCTGGCCTAGGCATATATCTCAAGCGCATCACTCCCAACATCAAGGTCATCGGAGTGCACCATTACGATTCAGCAGACATCTCAGGATTGATATACTGCAAAGGACAGTCGACACTGGAAGAGCACCTACTATCGAGAAACGTCTGCCCAAAGGTCGCCCGCATTTGCAGCGAGGTGATTGATGACATAGTTCATGTCACTACCAACGAGGTCTTGATAGCAGCAAAGAACATATACGAAGACACACGACAACTTCTAAACACTGAAGGTGCACTGGCTGTCGCTGGGATGAAGAGCTGGATTACGTCGAATGGACTTGTAGGTTCAGAAAAAGACTTTATTGCGATCACGTCAGAGGCTCAGCTCGACTTTTCGGAGATATCGTATATTGTCAAACAGGCCTCGCTGGCTGAGATGGCGATGGAGAGCGAGAATGATAGTGGACTAGAATCATTGATGCATAGTGCAGGCACAGCATCGACTTGTGCCGGTGATGGATGGTCCAGCAGTACGACTGTCGTTGGGACTGAAACCTCCACCAGCTTTACATCTGATGTTGACGCGAGACTTTGGAATAGTTGATACAGGCAAAGAGGATATAGAAACTTCTAGCTAGGAGCAATTACACTAAGTGATATTGCGTGCTGTGTAGTTCAAGATATAGTCTTTGTGAGGTTGATAATTATAATCGCTATGACCTATCCAAGGAACTAACGCTATGTGATCTTATTGTGACTGAAGGTTTGTAAGACTGATATGAGATCCAAGCTTATAAATATCTGCAGGAATAAATGCTTGGCGCTGCATGCGTTAACTACATCTAGAAATACGCTGCGCTGGGCTTGCTGACAGCGCACCTGCAACAAGATTATGTCACGGTCATCCGCTTCATCCCGAGCCTAAACCTGAGATCAAGAACTTCAATATTAAGCATATCTTAGATTTAGATGTATGATCACAGTTGTAATTGTTTGGCCCACCTTTGTAATTATTACAATCTCTTATTAAGAAGTTGAATAAGCATCGATTTTGAGTTGAAGATCTCGATTAATGGATAAGTTGAGTCTGCATCTCGATCCCTTTATCTTGGATTGCCGAGTTTACGATAAAATATAAAAAGGGTATACATCTCTGCTATAACAGAAGATATTATAGCCTTAACCCAAACAAACACACTTTTACACCAACTCAACCACGATTCATTTCACAATGAGGACCAGCCTATTCCTTCTGGCAATCTCGCCAGCGGCTGTTCTCTCAGGCGTCACACCTCCTGTTCGCCCCCTCTTACCTCCTGATAATGCCAACCTCACCCTCAACGGCGCAGTGAGTACTTTTCGATCCTCCCATCAGACGCTTCATTAACATTCTCCAGATCGACTGGTACCCTCTAAACTTCAACATCTCCGACTCTCAACACAAAGGATGGACTCAAATCGATGGCTCGTTCTGGATCAACGCATTTATCCATGGCTCCAATGGCCACGATTACTACATCGCCTCTCACTTGATGAGTTACGCTTCCGATATCGAGGGCTCTAAGCCAGTGTACCGGGCATCAGTGCTTGATCTGACCGATCCCACGATATTCCACAAATATGATCGAATCGCTCCGGAAAACACTACTTTTTGGACTAGTGATGGTGATTTCCGGGCCAGCTTTGAGGATTATGGGATGGAAACGATTGATAAGAACCCGTTACATGGTCTTCGCACTTATAGTTCCGTGGAGAATGTCGAGTTTGACTTTGACTTCTATTTCACGTCTCCAATCTTGCTCAACGCAGCTCTCGGGTCTTACCAAGTCGGAGGGGGACTTGGCTGGGAGTGGTCAGTTCCAAGAGGACGCACCGAAGGCTCGTTCAAAGTCAATGGCAAAAAGGTTGACATTGTCCCCGAAAAGTCCTTCGCATGGTATGATAGGCAATTCGGCTCACTTCAAGACTCGTTCGATTGGATTATGTTACATTTCGAAGAATCAGAATGGCTGGATATCTCGATTATGTGTGCTTGGAAGTGGGAGGACCGTGTGGACGGCCCGAAGATGTTTGCTACGGTCAGAAGTTCGCTGAACGGTCGAGACTCTGTGGTTCCTATAAACCTGACGGCGTCGACTACCAACGTCTGGATATCACCGGATACAGGGCTTGAGTATCCGCAGGAGTGGACCATCCAGTGGGAGGATATGGAACTCCTCGTTACGAGCCCTAGGCCTGATCAGGTTATCGAGGCTGATGAAGATACCGGGTTTCCATCGCAGTTCAGTGGTTATGTCAACGTGTTGGCTACCAAGGCGGGATGTATTCCAGTCAGAGGATTTGGCGCAGTTGATCGCATGAAGATCGAATAGTCACTACGTTATTGGTTTGCACAGGCTTCAACAATTGGTTTACGAGGTGCTAGATAGGCAAGCTTTTCAGACTCTCATCTGGATAATAGCACTGAATACAAACCTGTAGTTATCACTCAAACCAGATAGATATATACGATTGAGATGCTGGCAACTGATCATTTTACCTTCTCGAGACATTTTGGTGAGCTAAAGATAAGCCATAAGTCAACATGCTAATCGGGGCATAATCTCCCCGAGCTTCGAAGTGCATTGTAAAAGGCTCGGAGCAAACCACGTCTAGGGATCGATCCTGCTTGATATAAAATAAACCAAGTATTCGGCGTGGAACGTCAATCTCAAGAACCTGCACATCAAGCTGTAACAGACAACGCCATGACGGTACCAAAGGACTTGGCTCTGCCAAACTTCGATGCTGTGTTTATGCAGGTTCGTGTTATGACTATTCTATTTCACGCAGAGGAGAATCGTATGCTAATAAAATAAAGAACAACCAAGAGAGCGATTCTCAAGACCCAATCCAAGCCCTGGTAAGAAGCCTATTTATATTCGAGATCTTCTCCCCCATTGTCTAGACATCTTGTACAAGTCTTGAGATCACTGACTACTTCCCGTTTGAATGAGTATAGCAAGGCGTGCCTTATGCCATCCGCAAAGTCATCAGCATAGCCAAGATCAATATTCATATCATCGTGGAACCCGTTGATCCAAGCGATGCATCCTCACAATACCGCTTCAAGCTTACATCTTCCGTCATGGGCCTCGGCATCATTGGCGCTGCACCTCTACGAGCCGTTGGCTTTCAGACTGACAACACTGACGTGCGCGTGATGGATGGGATTGAGCAGGAGAAAGACGAGCCCATGATTGGCAAGACAAAGAGTCGCATCTGGATGTGCACTCTGGAGGAATTGATGAAGGAGCCTCATAGTATCGGCGAGGTCGCTGAGTTTCTCAAACAAGGCTGGGAGGGCTACGATGAGAAGACATCCAAGGTTGTTCGGATTAGCATCAAGAGTGCGGGGCCTAGTAGCGCTGAACCGTGGCAGAATGAGCAGGTTTGGGGGGTTCAGAAGGGAAGATGGACGGCGCGCGTTGCGTTTAGGAAGGGGAATGTCAGTGAGACTGCGCGTATTCTGTACGATTATGTCGCTTAAGATCGCAGAAGACTCGATGTCCATAATCTGTAAATATTCCTCACTAGGTACGCTCAATGCTGGTCTTCTCTGAATTTGAACCGAATAACAGCCCTATAGGCCCTGTGCAGTGTTCTCCAGTGGGCATTATAGTGGTCTGATGCACTGAGATTACCATGACATAGGGGCCCCAGCGCTATGGTAGAGGCGACTCGGTGGCTCATCCACTGATTACAGGCAATACCTTCTGCAAATGCAGCCGATCTAACGTCTGCGCGACATACAACGTTGGCTGGAGTTTGCTGAGGGATGACAGGATGAGGATTGCGGGATTACGGGATTTTTGGAGTAAAACTGCAGGATTATAGGGATTGGCGGATTGTCTGCCCCCCCAACAAAAGAGCGGACAAATTGGTGTCCGATCCCTAAAATGACCTGAGAAAAGTGACTTCCAGGCGCTTGCTGACGGAGCCAAGCCTTTTCTTGCGCCTCATAACGCAATTCTCAGTGGTTTCTCACTGAGAGTTCTCCCTGTGCGGACGAATTGGCTAATTCGCATCCCGAAGTGCTTTTGTATATATAGAATATTGTGATGTTGTATGCCAGTCTGAAGAAACCCCTCTTGGTCGTATTGATCAATTTCTTTTTACAAGTGATATTCAAGGCCACCTTTTGCAACTGCACAATGATGAACCTTGGCTCAGATGGCTTACGAAAGAGGGTCGCGATCGTGGGCGCTGGCCCCTTGGGCTTGATCGCGACGAAGAACTTTGTCGAAGAGGGCTTTGATGTGACCACTTTTGAACGCAATGAATATGTCGGTGGTCTATGGCATATCACGTCTGATCCTACACAGACTTGCGTATTGCCTGGGACAATCACCAACACATCAAAGCTGACGGTATGTTTCTCTGAGAGTGAAGTTTGGCAGAAGTACTGACAGTTACAGGGCGTCATGACCGACTTTCCCATGCCAGAATGTAAGCCGCCCTCTTATCACTCACTTCCTGATTTGTTGCTGACATTTTACAGCATATCCCATGTATCCAACCGGCGAACAGATTGAAGACTATTTCCAATCATACGCCAAAGAGTTCAAGCTCATTCATCACATCAAATTCGGCACAGAAGTCGTCGGTGTCTCCCGCGATGAAACCTCCAAGATGTGGCGTCTCTCATATCGCTCAAGCAGCAAACCCGATGCTGGGATCCAGGAAGACACATTTGAACGATTGATCCTCGCCACCGGATCTTTCAGCAAGCCTTCAATCCCCAACGTCAAAGGTATTGAAGGCTTCAAGGGTGAAGTACTCCATTCTCAAGCTTTCAAGAATCCCGCCAAGTACAAGGGTAAGAACGTTCTCGTCGTTGGTCTTGGAAGCACTGCCGCAGACTCCATTTCTGGCTTTCACAAGGCGGGCGCGAATAAACTCATCGTATCTCATCGACAAAAGGTTCTCATTTTACCTCGCATCACCAAGGACAACAAGGTTTTGGAGTTTACGCTCTCATTTAGACTCCTTCAATTGATCTTCTTTCTTCAAGAAGTCAACGCGTGGCTAATGTCCATCATCTTCTTTAGCGAATTGAAGAAGATCCAACAAGACAACTTTCCAGGCCTGTCATCGCACCCTGCTTTTACAGATGGACGAAAGATGCCTGGGCCGAAACACATGATACCGACTGTCAGCGATGACTTGGCTGGTTATTTCTTGAGCGGAAGGTTCGTCTATAGCATTCATCATTCCACACGCTCATACTGACATGAGGCAGACTACGAAGCGCTCCAGGCATTGCAGAGATCAATGGTCCCAAGTCAGTCAAATTCGTCGATGGCAGTGAAGCCACTGACATTGATCTGATACTCTTCTGCACTGGTCTATCACCGGACTTGGCTTCATTCATCCCCAAAGAATACGACCCCTACAACGTGGATCTATCGCCCAGCTCATTTGCCAAGCTTCAGCCTCACTACACAGCTGACAGACGTGTCGCTCGCTTATACCGAGGCTTCATGTCAATCCAGTGCCCTCACCAGTTGGCTTTCCTCGGAACAACACTGGCGAAGCGACCCGCTTGGCAGCTCTACGACTTGATGACCATGGCTTTGGCTCAGCTCTGGGGAGACAAGTATCCAATGCCCTCTCCTGCAGAAATGAACAAAGACGCCGATGCCTTCATCGACAATATTGTCAAGCTGAGCAAAGGTGGTGACGTCAAGTTCACTGGGGTCATTGGCCACAAGGAATTTGACAAATGGTTGAATGACGTGGCTGGGACAGGTCTCTATGATAATTTGGGAAATTGGACCAACGGGAGATGTTGGAAGCTGTGGTGGAAGGACCGGGAATTGTACAACAAGCTGATGACGGGTATTCTGTCAGCTCATGTTTTGAGATTGTTTGACACTGGTCGGGGGAGAAAGACTTGGGCTGGTGCAAGACAGGCTGTCATGGAGGCGAATGATGCTGCCGACAACTTTGGCAAGGACAAGGCTTGATATGGAAAATACATTGTTTGTGTTTGAAGAAGAGTGTTGGATGCAACTGCGAGGCCTGTGATTGAGAGAGACGGGGATATCGTTGTACTGATTGGAGTCATGAGATACCTAGTATGAGCCTTATACAACAGTCAGTGGAATGTGTTCGATGTACACGTAGCTTCACACCACTTATCAACTGACCGCCTTAATCGACTCATAGCTCTCAGGCCGTGACTTTGACTCTTCACCGATCTTGAAGTGACTCGGCAATCACCTCGGGATGTAGGGTGCACTTCCAGGTAGTTTAAACTTCAACGCTAGCGATTCAAGACCCTGGATTCAAGGGTCCAAACCCATGGCTTCAAGCGAGGCCACGCACTGAACCTTCTTGGCGACACTTCCGCAGCATCCGGCTCTTGACCCTCTTAAATGTCAATCTCCCGTGGATAAAACGGTCTTGCATTCCACTATCGCCAAGCCTTTAGCGAAAGCGACGACTCCATATCGAAGGAAACAGAGAAGTTTACGACGATAATGCAACGGTCCACGGACAACCGGCAAAAGACCGTTGAGCCGAGGGACTAGTCAGCGTTTTTGCGACTCATGGAGTAAGAAAACGTGTCGCGATGGGCCAATCAAGATTGATGATCATGGCATGGTTACCTTGAAGGAAAGGTGAAGGCATATCCAAGCAGCGATCATTGGGACTATCCATCGTCGAATTACACCGAGCTTATGCCCTTGCCATGGAAACCAGTCCAGAGGCTTGTCAATACAGACATCGTACTCGCGTTCGATCAGTTCCTCGGCATTACCGAGGCGTTACATACCGATCTCGACACCGCGATCATGATAGCTGGTACCGACTGGGATGAGAGCACATCGACCTCCAGCAGCTCGATGAAGCCCTGCTACCACTTGAAGTATCCCGACAGGGCCCCAGTCCTCTGATATCAGAGTTAGTAGAAATTGACAAGAGGTGGATATGAAACAGGGTGGAAGCCAATGGGGGTGGAGGGGGTGTTAAACCGGAGCTCGAACAGGCTGCAGAGCAGGATGATGAAAGCGCGTACGAGGGACATCCTCAGACAAAACTGATTACAGCCCAGGGCCAGACCTAGCACCCAACGGAACTATCAGCGGCATCATTTGCAAGGAGATATAACAATCTTGATTGGATCTTCGGGGCATCTTGGATGACGGATAGATCATCTTAAGGGTAAGATGTGAATAGTTACTCGTCAAGGATTATTTCAAATCTGGAGAATCTCATGTAGGATAAGCGGAAGTGATGTGCCTCCTGTATTAATAATACGGTAGACCTGACTTATTAATAATGGAATGCTTCAAGTAGGCAACCATTTAGTTAAAAGAAGAATATAACATCACTATGTAATTATGTAAATTAACGAAGGCATGCATAACTTGTAGATATTGCAAAGATCTACCTATTACGCCTACGTCGTCCTATGGCACTTAGAATCTATCGAATGTCTACCCCTAATGATATTGCCCGGCGTTTAATATACTGCTCGACAATGCCGAGGCGTCATGTACCGCGACTAATCATATAATAGCTACTATTATTAAGGATGGCCGCTTATAGAACTAACCTAAGCTAGCTCTATTATACTTTCCTAAAATGTTTATGCCTCTTGCGAGAATAATAAAAAGAACCAAGCTAACAATCTCCAAGACTATAACAACTAGACCTGTAATAAAGGTATAAGACTATAAAGCCAAGAGTTAATATACAGAAAGTGTGTATTAGAAGCTTAACTTACCAGTTCTGTGCATAGACCCGCCCAGGGAATATAGCTCTGTCGCGAGCTGTTCCGGCATGACCAAGACCAAAGGTCCCAGTGGTTGTTTCGAAGCACTTCCTTGTCAACAATGAAGTAAACAGTTGCAGCGATCCAGCCTGCGATAACAACACCAGAGCTGGCCAGGACGGCGCTGGTATGTATTAAGCCGTCGCGCATTGAGCGGAACTATCCTCTTGTTAGGCCGGCTTCCAATCAAGTGTGACTCTAATCAAGTGTAACTCGAACTTACAAAGCTGAGGCGCGTCGCTAGAGCTACCACCTGGACAAAGGACGCAAATGCCGCGATTGCTAGCATCAACCATGTCGAGAGCATATTAATCGATGCCCAACGCGTTCTCACCCAGCCGTCCTCGTTCCTGTCTACAGAGTTGTGCGTTGTTTTCCAGACGCTGACTCCATGGACTAGCAGGCTCAGGATGCTGAGGTCAAGTAGAAGGATAAGGACGCGCAGGGCCAGCCTGGTGGTATCAAAGATACTCGCGTTCTTGTTCTGCGGCGCATGGCGCTGCTTGAGAAGCCTCTGTGTATCAGAAACTGGACGAGGACTCTTTTCAACATATCCGTTGTCGACTTCATCGTGAGGGTCGAGCCGGTTGGAATACGACTCGTAACCAGAGGGTGCACTAAGGTCCATGATGAATACGGGGTCAATGATGTAAAATTGGTTTGGTTGCTTCAAATAGATTTATCTGCACGGGGCCTGAATCTACTTATATCGTGATCTAGATAAGCGGCATTCATGATGAAAAGAACTTTCGTAAAATTGACATGCAATATGATCCTGTCAGCCGCAGTCGATACCTGACCGACACCGCCTCCTCAGATGGCCAATCATTTTACATCTAGTTTCGTCCGGAGTAAGCTGACTGTGAGCCCTAACAACAACCATAATCCTTATATCTAAGCATAAGAAATTGCAAGCTGGCGATTCTAGCCTAGTTAGGGTAGGTAAATTATCCAGCAAGCCTTAAGCGAGCTCGCTGCTATTTTAAAAAGCCTCAGGCCCATATAAAGAGATCCTTTCGGCGGAGGCTGAGTAATCTGTCAGCCTGAACGAATATGTTTAATTGGTCAGTACCCTAGAAGTTTTATAATTAAGTGCGGCTGTGTCCAGCCTTATCATCGGCGACCCGATGACAAGTTGAACTAATGCAGTACTGCTGACATCTGGTCAAGTGATTGCTCGGAATACGCGTACCGTCGCTAATTAGTAAATCTCGGATTCTCAGAAGATGAGGAAATATGTTTATAAAGACGAGTATAGCGTCGTGAATAGGAAATACCATCACCAAACACTTCTCTGACTCTGTCTCAACATAGGAGACCTACTGAGCATAATATCTTTATCCCATTCCTCTACATCTTTAAACACAAGCCAAATCCGTCAACATGCACTTTTTATCAATCCTTCTTCTCGCTGGCTCTGCCCTCGCCGCTCCTCGGGCTGCTCAGTCGTCCCCTCATCAGCCTCGAGGTGACAGTATCGATGACATGCTGCCTCCCATCGTGCCCATCAACACACGGAGTGGTGACCGAGACCTCATCTCCAAGATCATCACTGCCCCTACTCAAGCTGAGCGCGTCAAGCTTTTGAACCAACCTGGCGATTATGTCTTTGACTTCAAAGCTGGCACCGGAGCCGGAGAGGCTTCTGGCAAAGGCGGCAAGTCTGTGTCAGCTACTGCTCTGACCATGCCCGCTCTCATCGGAAACGGAGCCTCCATGACAGTCGCCTTCCTTGGGCCCTGTGGGATGAACACAGCACATGTTCACAACCGAGCAACGGAGCTCAACATTATTGTCAAGGGTCGTCTTGTAACAAATTTTGTTGTTGAAAATGGTGCCAAGCCTATCGCCAACACCATGGATACCTTCCAGATGTCCGTCTTTCCCCAGGGCGCTATTCATCAAGAATTCAACCCTGATTGCGAAGATGCTGTGTTTGTTGCTGCATTCGATAACGCTGATCCTGGTGTAAACCAGATCGCCCAGAACTTCTTTTCCCTTAATGGTGATGTTGTCAAGGCAACTCTGGGCGGTGTGCAGACTATTGATGGAAAGGATATTGAGTCTTTCCGCGCGCATATTCCTGCGAACATTGCACTTGGTATTGATGCTTGCTTAAACAAGTGCGGTATCAAGAGAAACTCGAAGCGAGATATCAGCGAGCTTCTGAATTAAATCGGGGATTGACGTGGTTTGCTTCTAGTTATGACTTCATTGGTAGATATAGAGTTTCATGTATATATTCGGCTTCCTTTTTAATGCGCAAGTTAAGAATTTAGTTATACGTCACTCACCTCGACCTACTGATTTTAAAGTTCTAGAGAAGTGATATTATCTCTGTGTTCAAAGTATAAGAGGGTTGCCTCAGACAAACATTTTTCCAAATGCATACGACCAAATGGATTTCTACATGCTCTATCACAACTGCTTTCCAGCCAACTCAAATAGAATCTTGGCCTTTTCCGAGATATCATACATATCCATCTCAACATCAACAAGAGTCAGGCCCTTGCCCTTTGCAAAGCCCTCAGAATTGAGAACCTCATCCAATTCTTCCATATTCCTCACTTTACAAGAGTGAATCGGATACCCTTCTGGTGCATCCCCGAAAAGCTGAGGAGCAGCACTATAGTTCCAAGGCGCCACGTCGTTGTACGCCTCATTCATTCCATGGATGTACCTCTCATATGTATACCCGCTGTTGTTGATGATGAAGATAATCACGTTGACACGCTGGTGGATGATAGTACTGAGTTCTTGAGCTGTCATTTGGAAGCTCCCATCTCCGTCAAGAAGAATCGTGCGACCTTCTGATTTCATAACTGCCTTTGCTTGCGAGACTCCAAGAGCTGCTGGGAGCATGTGACCGATTGAGAACCACATTCCAGAGGCAATCAGCTGAGAAGATGGTGGAAGAACCAGATCGCGGCCTCCTATGATTGGTGTCGCATTACCGAGTAAAATTGTGTCGTTGGGCTGTAGATGCTTGTTCAGATGGGTGTAGAACTCATCTTGGATGATATACGCCTTGGGATAGACCTCGAACTGCGGTTGGTTTCTAAAGTCTCCCCATGAGGACGTATCCTGTCCTGGAAGTCCGGTACTATCAACAGTTTGAGCCATCCCTTTGAGAACCTCTCGGACATCAACAGGTTCGTCCTCGATATGATTCCTGCCGATGAGAGTCATAACATGTCGTTCTGGTAACACAGCCCAACCGAGTGTTTGTGTATCAGAGAATTGACATCCAAAAGCCAAGACAAGGTCTGCTGACTTGACCGCTGATGTCAAATCAACCGCACCGATTGCCCCGGAATAAACACCGAAGTAGTTAGGTAACGAGTTGTCTACCATACTGGCACCTGATGGTAAAGATACTGTAGGAATGCCGGATT